CAGACAGAAAAAAAAGTCGCGTGCAGCACAGTACACGTGATAGAAGTGAATACTTATTTATCGATTCGTCGAGGGTGAGTGAGTGAGTGAGTGAGTGAGTGAGTGAGTGAGTGAGTGAGTGAGTGAGTGAGTGAGTGAGTGAGTGAGTGAGTGAGTGAGTGAGTGAGTGAGTGAGTGAGTGAGTGAGTGAGAGAGAGAGAGAGAGAGAGAGAGAGAGAGAGAGAGATGTATTGTACATATTACAGGTATATCGAAATTCACCATCTCTTTCTCTCTCTCTCTTCCTCATATTCATCATATGCTTCATCTCACTTGCGAGATGAAAATTTTATAAATCGTGTCGTGACGCGACCTTGAAAAACTACTCTCATGCGGCCAAAGAAGTGCTGCACGAGACTTTTTGAAGTGAATACTTCTTTGGCCGCATGAGAGTGATTTTTTAAGGTCGCGTCACGACACCATTTATAAAATTTTCGTCTCGCAAGTGAGATGAAGCATATGATGAATATGAGGGAGAGAGAGAGAAAGAGATGGTGAATTTCGATATACCTGTAATATGTACAATACATCTCTCTCTCACTCACTCAATCACTCCCCCTCAACGAATCGATAAATAAGTATTCACTTCTATCACGTGTACTGTGCTGCACGCGACTTTTTTTTTAATATTTAATTTTTATTTTGTTTGCAGATTTCATTTGAATTTTGCGTAACCACTGTTGCGTTCTACTCTTGAATTCCATAGTAGAACCTCGTGCAATGGTCTTGCACTGGATGCCAGTGAAGAACTCCCCAAAGTTCTCCACCACAAAACGACCAAAGAGTGAGTAGAAGAGATAAAAGACAAGGTAGCAGTCACAAAACTATATTGTGGGCAGCCAAAAATAAAATTGAAAAGGGTGTTCCAAATGATGACAATGTTATTGATCCCAAAAGCCTGATAGGCGAAATGGAGCTGAGGCGGAACGCAGTAATACCCACCCAGCATTTGGAATCCATGTTGTGGGGGTGACGTAACACGTCCCACTAGGAATACCAGCCAGGTGGATACCCCCGACGCCCACCCTTCCATTTCGTCTGCCGTCCCCAGAGACCCGACGCCTCCAAAGGCGGCGGCGAACCTCCAGCCCACTGACACGTGTCACCACTTAGCCTATCGAGGAGAATTGACCGCGTTACCGCCCACAATAATAGAAATACCTAATAAAATGAGAAGATAAGAGAATATAATAGCCCAGGATTATAAGGAGTGTCAACACAAAATTTTTCATAACCAGCTAAAAATTGGTATACAACTTCGATTTATTGTCTGAAATAACATGCTAAAACTCCCCGCGCTTCCCCCGCTTGTTTCATGAGACATTGGCTCTCCACTCCCTAGCCCATTCAAGGACACGTGCTGCTTTCAGAGTAGGCGTCTCAGCTGACCTACAGTAACAGTACTGACTACTGAGTTACTGACAATTTTCTGTTGGGCACTGTTGGCATTGTTATGGAAAGCAAACATCATGAAAGCGAACCAAAATGCACACATTTTGGCAACGACTAATACCCCAAAAAACTCCCATTGTTTAACAGCAGAAAAGTAGGTATTTCAAAAGGAAAATTATTCTCAAAGAAATAGATACTTATTACTTTTAATTTGCAAGGTTCATAGTTCAAGTTCATAGAGCAATGTAGGCAATTATTGAACTTAGAACTAATAATTATTCTCCCATGTTTTATAAAGCTTTATCAGAATCAGAGAAATGATTTTAGATACATTTCATAAACAAGTAGGTTTATGATAAAGAAGTCGGAACAAATTCAGTAGATATAGAGCTGAATTGAGTGATCCAAGACTGATGATTGCCTAGTATCAGCTATAGTTTTCCACGGCTGATCATATGGTAGTTTATCCAGTTTTTCCTAGCCTCATCCGTCTAGTCCTTTCTTCTCAGAGCCTCTGGCCATGTTACTTTTTGTGATTCTTGTCATGGTCTTGAGTTTAGGACCAATCTTGTCTACCTTTCATTATTCATTCGAGCCACATCATAAGATACTCTTTCAACAGCATTGGTGTTTTTTTTTCCAATCTCCTCGTTCGGGAGCCTATCTCTCGGAGAATATCTGCTCCTCTTTCAAAATAGAGTAGGTATATTATTCCTAACCAATAGCAGTGGTCTACCAATATTTATATAAATTGAAGAATACGTAAGAATTTTTTCCCCAGAAAATCACATTAGGTATAATTTCCATTTTATTGATTGCAAAGAAGTGTTTCCTGATTATGTTTCAAAATCTATATGTTAATTAAATGTTAAATCAGAGTGTTTCATAAAAGTAAATTCCCAAGAATCTTATTATGATGTCATAAAGGATATTGAAAATACAAAGAGTCAGAACCCAGCGTGGACCACTATCCAGAGGTGGTGATCGCTATTTCCTGAAAGCCAGAATCCTCTTTCCTTGTCAGAGACAAAGCCAGTATCAGCATACAAAAAAGAAACAAGAGAAGTTATTGATCGGATACACAATAGCTATTTATACAATAAGTTACGAAATGAGCGTCTTTTAGGCACGCGACGTGAAAATTGTGTGGACAACACGTCGAGTGACTAAAAGACATCGTTTCGTAACGTATTGTATACAAGATTTTTTCTACTGGCATTTTATAATAAAAAAACACAATTTTATTTCATGTGAATAAGTCGATTACACCCAAAATCTTTGTTACCTGCTTTTACTTGACACCTGACACTTTTCATGCGATTTTTTTTTCAAGATTCGATATCAATAATTGAAATCCCAGAAAGTAGGTAACAACACAAAGTTCTGTTTTGAGTAACCCAAACGTTCAATTCAATAATTACATTTTTAATATTCATAATAAATACAAAACAAAATTTAAATCTGTGTTTAGTGTGTTTTTAATTTCTGGATAATGAATGACACTTTTAGGCACTAGTGCTTAAAAATTACTTTTACACACTCAAAAGTCACTTTTACGCATTCAAAAGTCACTTTTACGCACTGAGTGCTTAAAAGTAACTTTTACGCACTCAGTGCTTAAAAGAATATCGTTTTAAAACTAAAATGACAATCGAAAAGTTGCTATTATGAAACGTCAGTAGAAAAATAAATATAATCTCATCATCATAGGCGGTCACTCGATAACGAGTACATCGTCTATTCTATTCATATTGTCGTCAATTGTGCGTTTTCTGATGAAGATATAAACCAATTCTGTAGCCTCACACTCTTCCACAGTCATGGCACACCCAGCGGCCACGATTTCGGCGGTTGTGACGTCACAAGTTTCTGCATAATTTATCTTTACAAGGAATTTTCTCGGAGACTATTTTGAATATAGGAGTGCCGTTTTCACGAGAGATCGTAGATTTTTTTTGATTTAAGCAGTTTAAGTCGTCTTCTAGTGTCACACCCCCTCTAAAAGAATTGGTGTCGCGGTTTTAAGGTAGAAGGGCTTAAGAGGTGAATAATTTTTTGTGAAAAATATTGACACTCCAAAATTAGTTGTCATGCTTCGACGGCTGGGCCGCGTATAGCCACTTCCTACCATTGTGCAGCGCACTTCCCAGAAGTGTCGCGTTGTATCGTGGTAGGCACCGGCAAAGTTAATCGCTCATTAGCTCAGAACAAAACCTACCACGATGCAACGTTTTTCGCTGGAGCTTGGTATACAATGTCTAGTAGTCAGGCGTGAATTTGAGGAACAAATTCTACCACGACACAGCGCTTTCGTGCCAGTGCGCCCCCACATGTGTCGTCAGCTCACAGCAGTTCAATCAGCTGTTTGTTTTTTTGTTATCTTGCTTGAACTAGTTACGCACATTAAGCATTTGTAACCCTAAATAAAAGTAGCGTGTGAGAGTTAGTCAATGAAAATGGAATATCAGGAACTGTTACGTACTTGAAGTTGTTGTGACGACATTGAAATTTTAAAATTAAAGAAACAACAAAAATATATTTTTAATAATATTCAAAAATGGAAACTTTTTTCTAATTTAATTGCCCTCGTATCTCTTACCGTTTCTGAAATTATACCACACTATACATATTATGTAATATTCATTTGAAAAATAAATAAATACTATCACAATATCTTTATTTTATTCCAGTGCTGCGCTGTATCGTGGTAGAATTTGTCCCTCAGATTCACGTCATGACTACTAAACATTGTATACTACGCTCCAGTGAAAAGCGTTGCATCGTGGTAGGTTTTGTTCTGCGCTAATGAGTGTTTAACTATGCCGGTGCCTACCACGATACAACGCGACACTTCAGGGGAGTGCGTTGCACAATGGTAGGAAGTGGCTATACGCGGCCGGGCCGGGTTCACTTTTTTTTTGATGTTGCTCAACACCTTTTACTTGATAAAATCCCTTGGAAATTTGAAAATGTCATATTTCTGTCTTTCCATTTTCCTGCTTTATGTTCCGTCCTACGACGAAATATGGCGCATGAAAATATTTCTCGCCCTCATTTCCCGTCTTCATTTCCCTACCTCATTTGGTTAGGACTTAAAAATATATTGAAGTGTGAAGTTCAATTATCAAATGTTCATCAGTGACATACCACTCACTGACATTTGACATCATTTGTTGCCAATCTTACATGCATGAACATGGCACAATAACAATCTTAGCCCTTCATTGTTTATCAAAGCTTTAAAAATTACTTTCAAAAACAAATAATTATTGAACCAAATCGATTTTCGAATGAGTATAACGAGTTTTCGTATCTATTTTTGCTGATTCTCGATGGCGGTATATTTTCCTATATTGATATCTAAATGAGTTGCACAAAATAGTGTGGTTTCTAGCGAACGTGCAGGCCATTCGACTCGACAGCTGCTCGTCTTAAATGACGTCTCAAAAACATCTACATCTCTAGGTTGTTTCTTTATGAATCATCTTTGAACTAACTTGGATAAATTTAAATTGAGGAATTATATAGGGACAACATATTGTTTTTTGTGTAAGACAATAACACTTAAATAAAACATTTCAATATTTAGTTTTATTGGGGTAACTATTTACATTATAATAAACATAAAATAAATTAGGTTTTCAGAGGAATAATAATTAATATACAGTATAATCTACATACAAAATACTTGCTCTACTAGGCTACAAAATCTGTAACATAATACATAATTTTTGATAAAATATACATTTATTTTTGGAATGGTTTAAAAGTTTAACAACATAAATCTTTGAATTTTATGATTACATACATTTCAGGTTCAATGTGAACAAATATCAGCTTCCGCAATCAACAATAAAATCCATACATTAAAAATAGGCATTTGAATAATATATCCAGAAATAACAGCATTCTAACATTATAAAACAAATTTAAACGAGATAACATTGAATAGTTGTGGTAACAAACCTTACGATTGAATTTCGTTACCATCTTCATTCTTACTCGGAATTTTATTCTTTCCATTGGCCGACCTTAAACTATTATCAGGCGTGTCAGTAGTAATACTATCCAGATCCTGTTTCTCTTCTTCTTCGTCGATAATGCTGATATCTCTGATAGAAGGTCGATGGGATCTTCTCCAGGCTTCTGTTACTACCGGTATTTTGGTTTTGGTCAACAGCCTTGGACCAGATAATGTGATTAAAATTGCTCCCGTTGGCGCTGTAACCATGATGGAGAGGATGCAGACCATTAGGATTTTTTGAGCGTACTCGTATTCTGGTGATGTCTTGTCGGTTATAGTTCCAAGGACTACTGGAGCAAGAGCAGCCTGAATAAAGAAAAAATCAATGAGAGTTTACAATACAAGGGTAGGTATCAATATATTTATAGTGTGTATTAGAATGTAGTCTACAGGGATGAAGCTTTGCTACAAATGGAAGCTTTGTGAAGCCACATGACTATTTTTGTTTCAATATAAGAGCTTCGTCAATTGATATCCTCATCATCGTATCTTAAAGATTCTCAGTCTCAAGTTGAAGCACAACCTTCTCTTACTAGGATGTGGTTCATGTCAAGTTAATGTTAGTTAGGTAGTAGATGAAAAATGTCATTACCTGCACAGTTGCTTTAGCCATCAAAGCAAAAGCAATAAATATCTTCTCCTTCAAATTATAATTGGATCCGACAGCCACCAAAATGGTAACAGCTTGTCGCACCAAGAAAGCAGCCACCAAAATTCCAGTTCCAATGGCAACGATTTTTCCATCCAACTGGTTGAACTTCACTTGAGCGCCGGTTATTCCGAACAAAATCGGTTCGAAGATCATCCAGAATATTTCGAATGCAGTTGCAGCCGGATTTTCCTCGATTTCCCATCCTTGTCTGGACCAGACGACTAAGCAAGTGAAGGCGGCAGCTACGCAAGCTAAAGGGCCTGCTCCGCCGTAACCTATTAGTTCACTACCGAATACTGTGACTGTGCCTCCTACTAGAAGTAGGAGAATACGTAGAGGAACCTAAAATAAATGATTAACAATTAGGTACTTTGACTTCGCCATGGAACTGTAAATTCAAAATCAAGTTTCAAGAAAGATACAAAGGAACAAACCAAACTCAAAAACATTCTCTGGAAAGTTCAATTAAATCAAGAATGCAATGGAAGTAAATGATTAACAATTAGGTACTTTGACTTCGCCAAGGAACTGTAAATTCAAAATCAAGTTTCAAGAAAGATACAAAGGAACAAACCAAACTCAAGAACATTCTCTGGAAAGTTCAATTAAATCAAGGTTGCAATGGTAGTTGGAACTTTCTGCCAGAAAATGGAAACTTGTGAGAATAAAACTGAAAATTTGGAATGTGACTTGAGAATCTTGATATCAGGAAATATCTCAGCTTCGCCTGAATCTCAAAGTGCCTGTTAGTTACCAGAAACCTACTCAAATCGATAATGAAAACCCCACCTAAGTACCAAATATTATTCTTACCATAAAGGGATCGTGTTTTTCTGGAGTATAATTACAAATAACGCCCCACATAACGCCAAAAGCGATTCCACCGATAATCGAGACGGGTCCTTGCAGAATAATTTGCATTACGCCACTGTTGGAGAACATGATGCTTTTTATAATTCCAAAAACGGCCACAGAGACGGCATCGTCGATACCTGCTATTGCAATTATCAGAGTTGGAATACCTTTGGCAACTCCATACCCTTTTGTACGCATTCTAAAACGGAAGATGTACTTGTACTAGTTATGTATAACAGTTGCTGTTGCCCAGTTAATTCACTTACCTAAATAAACAGGGTACCACTACAGCAGGTGATACAGCCGCTATAACACTACCAAGTAAAATAGCATAGCTCCACGATAAGTCCAGGAAAAATTTGGATAAGATGGCAGTGACTAAACCTTCTATAAAAAACGGAACAAGACCGACTTTTATCACTGCGAATTTAAGCTTTTTCAAAGCTTTAGGATCCAGATCTAAGCCGGCACGAATAAGGATAATAACCAGTGCCAAATGCCTGAAATATTTAATTGTAAAAAAAAATTCAGTCATATGCAAATTTTTACCTCAATTCGCTATTGATTTCCGCAAATTTCTCATCAATATCTACAATACCGACATTTTGAAATAAAACTCCTGTGAAAAGCATGCCAATTAAGGCTGGAAGAGTTGTTAGGGTCATAAGCCATCCTCCTAAAAAAGCGCCTATGCAAAGTATTATTAATTGGAACAATATTCCTTTTGGAGGAGCGGCTGGAGCTCCCACTATGGAATATAGTATACACCAACATAGTAATCCTGAAATTTCAATGATTGAATAATGTAAAAATAGTTATTCGTATCTTCTACCTATAAGCCCTATAGCTAATATTCTGGAAAACTGTCGATACGTTGGACAAAACGGGTACGGACATAGTTTTGGCCACGCCGATGGCTGCCAGGAAGGGTGCGATTCCTCTGAGCGACATTTCAGGCAAAATACGTGCCACCAAGATCTAGAAAAAATAAACCGATTATTATAAGAAACTGTTTATAAAGGATTCTATAAAACTGCAATGTTAGAGTTAGATACACTTTAGAAAATATACTTTTAAAGTACAGTTTTCCTGAATTGAAATTACTTCTTCGCTTTCGTTGTTGATGAACTCAAATCGTAGAAAGGTTTTTGAGATTTTATTCATTTTACTCAAGCTGAAACACACAGGGCGTTTTCGGAAACACTAATCCGATTACCGGATCAGCAGCTGCTGTACTTTGTCTTTTTTCAATAAAGAAAGATAAAACACAAGCAGCTGGTGATCAGGTTAATCAGATCAGCGTTTCCGAGAAGGCCTATATAGGGACATATTGTAGTCATTAATATTTGACATATATTGCTCAGATTAATATTGTCCGAAAAAAATAATTTAAAAGATTCAACCAAGCATATTTTGTCTCCTTGTATAGATAAGTTTGAGTTGGTGGTACTCACCTGTTTTCTTCACAACTCTCCGAATACCTTCTACCTCTCGAATAAGCGGAAGATTTGGAATACGCAGAAGTTTTCGATTGCACCGATTCCGTTGTGGAATGTTTTTTGAGTCGATCTCCATTGCCGCTGTCTGAAAAAAACAAAGTTTTGGCATCTAAATACACGGTACAATGGCACACGTCGCTTTCGCTAGAACACTTTAAAAGTTTGATCCTGTCGGAATGCATTTCTAAGACTTGTAACTGTTTATTGATGGCATCGAAAATGTACAGATATTTTTATTTATAAATAACAATAAAAAACGTTAGTTATTTTTATTGTTGGATTTATTTATTTGATTGGGAGTTCATGCCTACTCTACCTGAATACCGTTAGCGTAAATTTTATCGATATAATTCTCAAAGGCATTAGGGACTTCTTGCTCTACTAACTTATAGGTACAAAGATTCCATATTTGCATACATTTTTAGGATTTTTTTTCACTTTTTTGTATTTCTGCTGCACTACCCTAACTTTGTGTATTGCAGATGGCGCGAACATAATACCTATTCCCTTTTTTTGTGTTTTTAATTGCTATAAGGAAGTTGTAATAAATGTAATGGCGTTTTGTCAGTAAATATAGGGCCTTTTTCAGAAATTACTTCAAAGTAGTATATACCTACTACATAGGTAATGTGTGTTTGAAGGATTTGCCACTTTACTGCAAGAAGCGGCCACTGCACTTTGAAGTCAAAATTACCATCAAGTAGAATATTTCTTGTAGATATTTCAAACCATATAGTCGCACTAACTAAAAAACAATCTCAAAGTTCGCGAAGCCACGATAAAGTTCCCATTGGCACTATGAAGTTCTAATTGGAACTTTAACTTCTAATTAATAAGTGCATTTTCGAACAAACTATGTGATAAATTACTGTGCCGACAAACGGCTATAGATATTTTCTTCCCTATAAAGTGACCGTTACTTTAAAGTATTTTTTCAACTAATTGGAACTTTGTGGTATCTACAACACAGAATGGGAAGTGAAAGTTACTGGGACATAGTTTTCTTGAGTAGCAAGGGCAGAAAGGCAGTTTACTTTACCTTAAATATTTATACTACATATTTCCATAACTTTAAAGGAATTTCAAAACTAGCAACGACGGTATAGTTAAGTACTTTCAATGTTAGATACTAAGTAATAAACACTTTGAACTGATATACGAGTATGAAAACAAAGTAACTTGGACTATCAATTATGAATTTATAGTTTTTGCGACTTTGAAGTTATACAGGGTGTCACGAAAGGTTTGTTACAAACTTCTAAGGATGGTAGATCTCGTAAAAATAAAGCTTTTTTTCTTAATAAACATGTATCCAGAAATGCTTCGTTTTCCAGATACAGGGTGTCTCACGGTGGATGGCGTATTAGACGTTAATGGAAAACTGAAGAACGGATCATTTTGAAAATTTGGCAACCAAGATAAACAACCCTAATCTACACTTAAAAAATATTTTTGTTTATGCGGTGTTGCCGCTTCTACTCTAAACCAGTGGCAACATCGCTATTTTAAATGAAACACCCTGTATGTGTTTGCATATTTGGATTCTACGTAAAATTCTGAGCAGATTTCATGTCATATACTCTATACTTAAGTTCAACTGTTTTGGAAATATTGACAGTTGAAAATTGACTTTTTGCAACTTTGACAGGCTGTAAAACCTGAACGGTTAATTTTAAAGGAAAACCGATTTTACATTGCTATGTTAGATTATATTTATAAACTATCATTTGACACCAACTTTGAATTTAATCGGAGATTAAATTTAATTGGAATTTTTAATCATGGATTAAATTCAAAGTTGGTGTCAAATGATAGTTTATAAAAATCTAAGACAGGTATGTGAAATCGGTTTTCCTCTAAAATTAACCGTTCAGGTTTTACAGTCAATTTCAACATGAAATCTGCTCAGAATTTTACGTAGAATCCAAATATGCAATCACATACAGGGTGTTTCATTTAAAATAGCGATGTTGCCACTGGTTGAGAGTAGAAGCGGCAACACCGCATAAACAAAAATATTTTTAAAGTGTAGATTATGGTCGTTTATCCCGGTTGCCAAATTTTCGAAATGATCTGCTTTTTAGTTCTCCATAAACGTCTGATACATCATCCACCGTGGGGCACCCTGTATACAGGGTGTCAAACTTTGTGAAAAAAATCAATTTTTACATTAATTCTCAGAAGTGCTAGCGTTTTAGAAAAAAAGTTTTTTTGTTTATTTTTAAGCAACAAATAGCCTGGTAAAATTTCAGGTAATTCTGTGGCCATTTATTTTTTATTTATGGAGGTCAGTGCCGTTCGTGGTTAGCCTAAAATGGTTTTTAAATTTTATCTCGAAAACTAATACGGAAAAAAATAAGGAGATAAAAAAGTTGTATCTTTAAATGTTCTATTGAAAAAACATATCTTAATTGAAAATAAATCTACTGGACGATGTTTTTCGTGCAAAAAAAACCATCCCACAAAACCTGTGGCACGTCCCTGGAATTACTGGGTCAAAAAAATTGGCTTTTTTTATAAAGTTTAACACCCTGTATATGGAAAGCGAAGCATTTCCGGACACATGTTTATTAAGAAAAAAGCTTTATTTTTACGAGATCTACCATCTCTAGAAGTTTGTAACAAACCTTTCGTGACACCCTGTATAACAGATTACCAGTTCCGTTCCAGGAACTTCAAAAAATACCTAGAAGTACTGAAACTACTAAGTTCCAAATTGTAGTAATAATAACTACAGAATAACTAAAGAAGTCTAAATAAAAGGACGAAAAACTAGAAAGGCGTTTTTGGTAATAATTAGGTAACAACGACCTATTGGAAGTTCGGATCGTAGTTTCCGCAACTTTGATGCTGCTTGGGTTTTCTCATGTTGTTCAACTCGAGCCATCCTGTATCTCGTTAAAGCTTACTCCTTTTTGGAATTTGTTTACTTCTTTTATTGTTATCGTCGGTTCCTACTATTAAATTAATCGCATTTTTTTGATCCATTGAAGCAAGGTCGATCGTATTTTCTATATAGTTTTCTCTACTCCTGTCACCTAGATTTTTTTCGTCTTCTGCTATCGCTAATGTTTTGTATTTACCCTTCAAGATACCGATCCAAGTATACTTTTTGTCCGTCGATTTTTAACTGATACTTGCGGTATGAGGAGCGAGGGGGTGTTCCATATGGCAAAAACAGGTGTAACGTCAGGAAACCATTGGCGTTCTAATGTAGGGAGCCACCAGCTCACATTCCGTCCGAGTATCAGATTAAAATCGACGAACAATATGTCGAATAAGGCGAGGGCTAAAGAGAATAGGTACATTCACTACATAAGAGATAAGTCTCACCATCATAATTGGTTATTTCATCAGTGAATCCCCAGCCTGACGAAGACGGCATTGATCTTTAAAGACCAACGTTTACCTACCAGGAGACGTCCTACTGTGCTGGACATAGACATTTTGAAGTTGCAGAAGACCAAATTGAGTCTAAATAAGAAGGCCACTCGAATCAGTACCCGATACAATTGACTATCGGAGACAGCCTTTGATCAGAAGATAATCAACTATTAGATTGAACAGGGATAAGCAATGGTTCCCTAAGTGATCCGTAACTCTGAGCAGTTGGAGCTGGGTGTTGAAACTTTACAATTTTACATTCTTGAAGTGCATCTTGAATACACAGTTACCAGGCAAATCTCAAGAAGACCAAACTGAGAACTTCTGAAGAGAGGCCAAAGAACAGGAAGGAATTGGATAGCACTAAACCAGCTCGGATTAAAACTAAGGCAAGTTCTTGAAGAAGTCAAGAACAAGAGCTGAGATTAGATTTCAGAGATCAGCATTATTGACTACTCTGCGTGGCAAATGCAAAAGTACTAGACCCATCATTCTACTGTTGCAGGGACTCAACGTTACGATAAAGATTAAGCTGAAGCTTTTACAGATACAGAAATGCCATTGCCAAATGAACATTCAGGTGAAAATAAGAATCACTGTGACGAGATTGATCAATCATTGATGAATCATGCGCCATGGAATTTAGAAAATCAAAAGACCTGAAAGTGAGAAAGGCATCAGGTCGTGATGAATAGGAGCTCTGTGATGGATTCACCAACATCATCAACGTCGTTCTGAGGCACGATCACTTTTCGCAAAGCAAAAAGCACCTGGAAGGGATCATGCTTCCTCCAACGTGCCTTTCCTGTTGAGGTTGGCGATTAATATGGACGATTCTCTGTCTTGGGCTTGGTGGATAAGTATGTTTCCATCAGTGTAGGTCCAGTCTCTTATATTTCGTAGCCATGATTTCTTTATTCTGCCCATGCTACCTTCGATTTTGCCTTCTATTATAAGCTATATTTGTTCAAGTTCTGGGTGCCGCATTATATGTCCGAAATAGGCTGTCTTCCTTATTTTGATTGTGCTCGTTAAGTATGGACGAGTGTTCATTGTGTTCAATACCTACTCCGCAGTTCATCGTTCTGGAAGTCCAGCTTATCCTGAGCATTCAACGCAGTGGCGACGCCAGGGGGGGCCAGAGGGGGCCGGGGCCTTTCCTGAAATTTAGCCGGCCCCTCCTGAAAACTTGTCCTCGTGGCAATAACCTATACATCGAAAATGTGAGAATATGTTGATTGCTCTGCAATCTGCAATAAATTTGAGCAGCGTAGCGTAGCAGAACCACACCCACTCAACTAATTACTAATTACCCTACTACTAAATCATAAAATTGAGATTTTAGCGGACCGGCAGCCTGCATCTGCTGGACCAGCCTATACGGACAACGCATACATGGGCAACAATGCAACGTAACATCCGCAGCCTCTGCTGGTTAATTGAGTATTCGGTGGGCACAGGCAACGCTGCTTCCGCTTTCCTGGGATTTCCCTACAAATTTTAGGCTCAGTTTCAGAATAATTGGTGCTAACCTGTACTGGTTAGCAAGCTTATAGTTGCGGGTTAACCACAAGATCGCAAAATGAGGATTGACTAAAGTTTTCTAGTTTTCTGATGCTTGACCAATGTTTGTGGCTCAACCACACATTCTGCAACATATTAGTGAGTCATCGCAGTTTGTGAAAATGGCTCTTAGTGTCG